GGAATGTACATATATTTACTGGGAAATTGGGAGAGGTTGAGTCATGGACTGCCAGGCAGGTGTCATTTTAAACTGGAAGTTCTTCGCACTGCTATTTTTTGGCTTGACAGTTTACTCCCAGATGCTGAGCTTTGTCTGGATGTGTATTAGTGGCACCATCAGCATCTAATCATTTCTTGACACCTCATTCACCCACTTATCCATTGCCAGGTGTTTTTGCCATTGGTTTTGTGTCTGTGGTCTTCTTTCCATCCTCAACACTTCCGCCGTGGCTCAGGCCTTCACTGTTTGCCATGGCGTCGTGTGCTTGCTGGCTGCCTGGACTGGCAGTCATCAGCCTCACCTCCTTTTCCACGCTTTGTATTACTGTCAAACACACTCTTCTTACTGCCTTGGGACAGTATCATGGGTTCCTAAAACCACTCAGTGGCTCCTCTTTGTGATTCTGATAATTTCCAGGTTGAGATAGACATTCTAGGTACCTCATGACCTGTACCCAACCTACCTTACCAGTCCTAACACCTTTACTCTATTCCTGTACCCTTTGCTCTTACTAAACTGGCTTATCCTCCATTTACAAGCATGTTCTATATTTCTCTGCCACCACCCTTTTACTTATATCATTCCTTCTACTGTGCTGGGATCTGCTTCTCTTTTATTTCTCTTTGCAGCAATCTGACCCATCTTCTAGAACCGCATTAAATGCAATCTTTTCCGTGAGGCCTAATTGCAATATCTTTCTCTGAGCTCTGAAACTGGATCATCTATTGAATACATTCTGCTTTGTGTTGTTGTGTGTGTGTGTGTGTGTGTGTGTGTGTGTGTACTACTTGCTACCTCCCCTGAGGGATTGTAAGCTTCTTGAAGTCCCCCATCATATTTTGCATTGGTTAAGCTATTCTATTTTGCTATGCCTTAATTTCCTGATTAAAGTGAGCATAATAGAAGTGCTTAACTTCTAAGTTTGCAGCATTATTAAATGGAATAAAGCATCTAGAGTGCTGAGCAGAGACCTTGGTATACAACAGGTCCTCAACATTTATTGGTGGAACAAATAAATGAACGAGTGTTCTTGTTTTCTCCTGAATCCTATATTATTGCAAATGCAGAACGTTTTCCTATCCTAAACTTTGCTAAATTTGCAGGGCCCTCAGTACTAGTTGCATTCCATATTTTTCTTGAGCATTGCCAGAAAGTTTAGGGGCAAGAAGGGAATGATCAAATATAACTACCATTAGTGAAAACCACAGGCACTGAACAGCTGGATAATGTGAACAGACAAGTTCAGCTGAACCTCCAGAAATGCATCAATCATAGGATGATGGCAGCTTCTGGGGAGAGTTAAGAGATGCTTGAAAAGGAGCCAGAGTGTGGAAGAAAAAAGATGTTTAGAGTTGGGTTTTCAAAACCGAAGTCTTCATCATGGCCAACAAACTATGGGGAGGTGGCAAATGTGTGTAAAAAGACCTTTTCATTTTCTTGAGTTCTTTAGAAAATTGGAGAGTTTTGTTTGTTTGGTTTATTTATGTGTTTATTTTTGAGCAGCTTAATAATAGAAATTGCCTCAGGGATGGCGTTTGCCATTGCTTTACAAATGCAATACTGTTCTCCCTCAGGGGATTGTGCTGCAGGCTCCTAGAGTGAATATTGCAAAAGCCACTAATAATACTCCTTCTCAGGTAACATTTTCTGGTATAAAATATCTTGGCTTAATATAGTCTAAATACATTGAAGTGTAATGTGGCCAGCATGATAACTTTCTGAAATGCAATACTATTGTCCTTTCTTCTGTCTTGGTTTCTGTGGTGTCAGAGGCCCAAAATGAATCAAGATGACAAATCCTTAGCTAAGGCAATGTAGAAGCCACCATGGTACTGTACAGGAATTATAGTCTCTTATTTTTCCCGGGAGAGAGAGCATGGGATAATGTAAAGAACACTGGATGAGTGTCAGGATTCAGCTTCAGGAGGCAAAAGCCAATAGACTTGGGCCCAGCACTTAATCACTGTGCACCTTATCTCTTAATTGGAAGGAATTGGGCTACAGAGGCTTAAGAGTCCTTCTAAATATGAACTTTTCAATTCTGAGGTTTCTTCTGTCTGGAGAGGAGCATATCATGATGGATCGGTCTCTGGAATCAACAGGCTTGGTTTTGCACTAAGCCCTAAGCCCTTTTGTAGCTAAGAGATCTTCGACCAGTTGCTTACCCACCCTCCTTTTTCTTCTATAAAAGATGGGGATAGTCATATTACTTGTATCAGTTTGGATATGCAGCCGGTGTTGATTTGTTGATTCAGCTGCTCAACAGGAACCCATGCTCTTTTTGACAAGTTCACCATCTTTAATTTCATCTTCATGTTTGTTGCCTCATCTTATAAGAAGGCATTAGCCTCTCCAGGTATTAAGTCTTCATTCCCAGCAGAAAGCAGGGGGTGGAAGTGGGAGGTGATAGCAGGATTTTTTTTTTTTTTAAGTATATGCATGGGGAAAGGGTCTATGTTCTAGGGCTTCTTCCTCCTTTTCTCTGAAAATGAACAACTTTTCCAAAACTCCCACATGACTTCCCATTGTATTTTATTGTCCAGAACAGGACCACAAGACTCCTCGCCTGTGAGGGAAGTTGGAAAAGTCTTTTTCAGCTTCTGTGATAGTGGTTAAGGGAGAAAAGGTTGGAAGTCCTTTGAAGTCAGTCAACAAACAGGTTTGCCAGACTGCCCCAAGTGACGTCAGAATGTCATGAGCTACGTGTAGTGGTTAATGCTGGTTGAGTGCTTATCTCCCTGGGTCACAGCTTGACCCAGGGCCAGCACTGGATAACTGTTACTTACCCTTCTCTAACATTCTATTCTTTCCTTTGCACCTGATTCAACCTCAGTGCAGTAATTTTCAACTTTATCATATGAGAATCCAGAATCCTTGATATTCGGCTCTAGAAGCCACTTGAGTTCTTTCTCTTCTAGTAATGCAATAGCTTTCCTGTGCACTGCTCATGATAGCTTTAGTGTCTTGTCCAGGAGTGTGTGTGTCTTAAACTGACAAAAGGAAAGCAGGGTCACAGAGCAAGGGAGGCTGAGATTGTCCTGTACAAGGTGTTTTGCCTGAACAAAGCCACAGGCGATTCCTTATGCATGGGGTGCCATGCTTTGCACAATGACCCTGTTCTATTCTGACCTTAGCAGTCTGGTCCAGAGGATGGTGCCTGGCTCAAAAGGCAGCCAGTGAGAGGCTGCAGTGAGATTTCTGTCGAATAAGAGAGGTCCATAGAGAGTAGTAATTAATGGAACTAATCAGTCTCTCTGTCTTAGTGTCACTAAGTGCCATTCAAATATGCCAGATTCTAGAGATGTGCATAAGCTAAGAGGCACATAGAGACAAGTAAGCAGATGGCACAAGAAACAGAAGCTGTGAGAAGGCAGAAGCCATGAGATTGATGAATTTGTTGAAGAGGCCGTAGCATCTGAACAGAGAATGGTTGACCTGCCATTATGGGAGCAACAGCGCATGCTGTTGAAGGACAAGATCAGATCTCGGGAGCTGCTGCTTTGCCTAGGGTGTTGCTATGGACTACCCTGGCATGCCCCAGTTCTCCCCTGGCTGGGCTGCCGTCTTTCTTGCTCCTCCTGGGCCCCTCTGTGAACCCCTTATTCTGAGAGAATGTGCAAAGATCTCCAATCTTGGTAACTATGGAGCCTGATTTACAAAGGAATTCAAATCATTTAGGCACAACTGTGTTGTCCTGTTACTAATTAGAGTAAGAGAAGGTGGCTGGTGTGCAGACTTCTTCCGCCCGGCTGCCCCTCATGGAGCAGCCACCCTCATGGTGGGAGAAACCTACTCAGCAAGGATGAGCTGCGATTCTGTTCTGCGCAGGCCCAGGGCCCACCAGCTGGGCACCAGAGCCCTGGCCCCCCTTTGCTGGCCAGAGAGTCTCTTCAGAGCGGAATTCAGAGGAGCCTGCCTTGCCACCAGACAATGGCTCCATTTACATAATCCTCCCTAGGCTGTGGCTGGTGTAATTCAGTTATTTGATTGATTTTATATTGTGTGATGCTGGAAGAGGTGAAGAAATAACAGGTTTTTGGCTGTACCCTCTGGCCTGTTCTGATCTGTCTTGTTGGCTTCAAGGATTTCACGAAGCTTTGTGCTGCTGCCAACTGTCTCCCTGGGTGTTGTTCACAGGCAACATCCTGCTTCCCATGTGCATATCTCCACGGAATCCGTAGGAAGTGGGACCTAACCCTTCAGTTGCCGGCTCGTGGGTGGAGCGTGTGGGCTGCAGAGGTTTGCGTGGAGTCTTCAGTAGCCCCACATGATGCCAAGTTTCTCCAGTGTTTAGTGCTCAAGCTCCATCCTGTCCCTTTTCCCCCAGGAGAAATGGCTGTGTATTGGTTTGATTGGAATGATCTCGCTATGTCTGGCAGCTCTAACACAAGTTAACACAGCTTTAAAAAACCAGTTTTCTTGATGTCTTGGCACAACAGGTTTCCTAATATGGAATTGTTAAGCCACATTTCAACTTCATTTCCAGGCCTGTGTCTTCCCTGTTTGTTTGTTTGTTTTTTGAGACAGAGTCTTGCTCTATCTCCATGGAGGCTGGAGTGCAGCGGCGCCATCTCGGCTCCCCGCAACCTCCGTCTCCTGGGTTCAAGCGACTCTCCTGCCTCAGCCTCCCAAGTAGCTGGGACTACTGGCATGTGCCATCACGCCCGGCTAATTTTTGTAGTTTTAGTAGAGACGAGGTTTCACCGTGATGGCCAGGATGGTCTTGATTTCTTGATCTCGTGTTCCGCCTGCCTCAGCCTCCCAAAGTGTTGGGATTACAGGCGTGAGCCACGGTGCCCGGCCCTGTTTGTTGACTTGAAGGTTCTGCCATTTCTTATGGAGCCTCCATCTCTGGCATTTATTATTGATACATTGTTTCTTTTACTTATTGTATGTTTATTTATTTTTTATCCAAGTGAGACTCACGTTGACACAGTTTGTTTTCTCTTTTCTTTCAGCTTTAACCAATCTTGAGTAAGAACTCCCTGACTTGGAAACACTCAAGTATCCCACACGTGACTGGATGGCCCTCGCCACACTGGGAACGGAATGGGGGCCTCCCATTGGAACTCGGGGTGGAGGCGGAAGCTCCACCAGCTATTGTGCCTCCCACTTCCATTGACAAAATAAGTGTTGCAGACGTGGGTATGTGGGATACGGGGGTGTGGGGGCTGGTTAGTGCCTGGCATCTGGAATTAAAACCTAAACACATTTCCCCTTAGAAACAATATTATTTATAAGGGCCAAAAGCCCACTAACCACTGCCCCACTCTCCAGAGCTGAACGCTACAGTGTAAGTTCTATTAGTGATTTTTAACTCTGGCTGTGCATTAAAATCACCTGGATGTGCTTTAAAACCCTGTATGTGTTCCTCCAGCAGAGGTTCTGATTAAACTCATCCAAGCAAGAACCCAGGCATAGGTACTTTTTAAGTTTCCCTTGGCCAGGCGTGGCAGCTCACGCCTGTAATCCCAGCGCTTTGGGAGGCTGAAGCAGGCGGATCGCCTGAGGTCAGGAGTTCGAGAGCAGCCTAGGCAACATGGTGAAACCCTGTCTCTACTGAAAATATACAAATTAGCCGGGCACAGTGGCATACACCTGTAGTCCCAGCTACTTGGGAGGCTGGGGCAGGAGAATTGCTTCAACCTGTGAGGCAGAGATTGCAGTGAGCCATTATCATGCTACTACACTCCAGCCTGGATGACAGACAGAGCGAGACTCTGGAAAACAAACAAACAAAAAAGTTTCCCTGGAAATCCTAATGTGCAGGCAGGGTTGAGAGCCCGGAGATTTTGTATCTGGGTCAGGACTAGGCTGAAGCCAGAGAGGTGCCTAGGTACAAAGCGTAAGGAGGTGCTCACACTTGGATCCGTCTAAGTTGGCCCATTTTGCAGGTCGCATTAGGAACTTAGTCAACATGGGAGTCAATGTCTTGGATGGAGATGGGTTTTAGTTTTAAACTTACGTATTGTAAAGAAAGTCTTTAGGGCACAACCTGTTTATAATTTGGTGATTTCTCCCTTCCTTTCGTCCTACTTCTTTTACTGTCGTACTCTTTTAACTCCTCTCACTCCAAACCTCTCTGCCTTGTTTTTACTCTCTCCTCTTTTCTAGCACTTTCTTCTCCCCCTGCCTCCTCCTCCTCCTTTTCCTCCATCTTCTTTTCCTTCCATGTTCTCTTTCCTCCGAGGGTGGCTCTTCTCTTTGTCTTTTCTTGTGTACTTTGGCCACTTTTGTTAGCCACATTCCCTTCTCATTATTCCAGGCCCATTCATGTGTCCTGGATCACTTTTTGTTTTTCTACCTCCCCTAGTCCCTCTAATGCAGCACGCCCACCACTGCCCCACCACTGGCCAAGTAGCTCCAGTCTAGGACAATCCTCCCAAGGCTCCTCCCAAACCCACGCTGGCTGCATCAGCCTCCAGCGGCTGTTCATGGCCCTTGCTTGGCCCTCAGTGACACCAGATGGATTTTTTAGGTTGGGAGGGAGGGTGAGGGGGTAGTTCAGGAGGAGGAAATAAAAATTGGCGAAGATAGAGAGATTAAACTGTCATTCTTTTTCTCCCCGAAGCTACTTTGAGGAGTAAAGAGAAATGCCTGTAAAAGTTGTAAAACCCTTGATTCATGGTAGAATCGGGAGGCAGGTTCCCATCCTGCCACCCATCCCTGGCAGTAAAGCTACCCAGGCTAATCTTTTGACTGTTTCTACCCTCTGGGTTTCCTTGAAAGATAAACAATTCTATCGTCCTTTCCCTCACTCAGCCCCCTCCAGTACTATTGGCACTTCTGAAGTTAGAAATAAGCTGCTTTGCATCACAAACGGGCCAGATCTTCAGAGCCGGCCAGCAGCTCCTTTTTCTTGTGTGGGAAAGATCAGAGTAAGGAGAAAAGCCCAGAGCCCAGAAACATCAAGCTGGAGCTGTTGAAAGGTTTCCTTCCTGCCAGACTGTCCAGATAGGCGGATAATGCAACATCCTTGGGAATTTGTCCTGGAATGGTCTGAATCTTGTGGGAGAGGAATGAGGTGCTTGTCCAGGACTCTGCTCTTTTATCCACAGCTGATTGCTGTCACCTTGGTGCCTTGGCCCGTCCTTATGTACCCAGTTCCCATCTGTATCCCAGGAATGCAGGACAGGGTAAACACAGAGTGGTGGGGGAGGCCCAGCTGCAGGCCTCTCTGCTCACTCAAGGAGCATGGCCTGAGTGTGTCCACCTATGTGGGACTGGTCTTTGGGACCAACCACTTAGGTCACCCGATTTTAGGGTGGCATTAACAGGGTATCTGGAAAGAGGCTGAGATTGCCCACAGCAAGCCTGTGAGGTGAGGGCAGAGGAGATGGGGCCAGGATGGCATTCACTGCACTAATCTCCTGCTGCAGGAGTGTGATAGAGAAAAATGAGCAGACAGTCTGTTGGGCTTGGAGCAGGCTGGCTAAGAGAGAACGGACATATTTTAGCTGAAGGGTACACTGTCTTTCCCTGTAGACAGGGCAAGAGAATAGAGAAGCAATGTTAGGTGGCAACCGTAATAATAATTACATGGTACATGATACATGTCTTCAACTCATTTTCATATGCACCTCAGGCTCATATGCTGGAGCCTGCAGAAAAATATAACACAGCAAAGTACTCTTATCCTCATATCACAAGAATTCAGAGTGTCATGTGACTTGTCTAAAATTTATATTGCTAGCAAATTGCAGAGCTGAGTCCTGTCTTGGCCCATACCTTGAAGTGTCCTGCTTAAGTATCATGATACTGCACACTCTGAGGTTCAGCCAGCTTCTTTGGTGAAACCCACATTGGATATCATCAATGGAGTCATACAAATGGGTAAAATAAATAGGCAACTTAGTGAATTTGAACTCAGTCTGGGTTGGGATGGTCATTGCAGGAGGGTACTAGAGGGGCAGAAGTGGGAGTGGCAGGTGTTCTTCTCAGTGGCATTTGCCAGGTATAGATTAGGGCCACAATGTGTCCACTGTAGTCAGTTGGCAATCCTCAGGAATGGGGTCCAGCTAGGAGGGGAAGAGCTGCCATGGTCTAGGGGAGGAAGCCTGAATTTTCAAAGTCTAGGGCTAGGGTTTCAGTGAGAAACTGAAAAGATGGTGGGAAACCAAGGCCCACATAAGATGATGGTGAAAAATCTAAGCCTTCCTCATGGGGCAGAGTGGGAACATTAGGACCAGATGCTTTTGTGGCATCTAGGGGCTGAGTCTGTCTTATTTCCCAGTAGACCCTCTTCTCTAGTAGCTATGACAGATTGTACTTTCCAAAGATGGCTGCAGTAATATCTCTTATCTCACATGCTTATTTTACACTGTAACTTTAACACTCCTCTCATGGAGAGGTGGAATCTATGTTCCCTCCCTTTGCATCTTGACATGTTTGCGACTGTGGAAGAAGTCATGCTATATGTCTTCTAAGACTGGGTCAAAAATGGTACCATGGTTTCTACCTTACTCACTGGAATGTTCATGCCAAAGCCCTGAGATGCCATGTATACAGCTTGACTTCCCTGAGATTGCCATGCTGGGAGGAAGCCCAATTGGTCCATATGGAACAGCCACAGGGAGAAGCCCTGAGACTGCATGAAGAGAGATTTCTGGCCAGTTCCCAGTTTGTCAGTTTCCCCACTATTTCAGCTCTCACCACCAACTGACTTCAACTGCATGACAGACCCCCCAAGCCACAGCCACCCAGTAGCTTCCCAAATTCCTGATCCAAACAAAATATGAAAGATAATAAAATGATTGTTGTGGTTGGAAGCCACTACCACTAGGCTGGTAGTGGCCAGCCTAATGGTAGTTACCATGATTTGTTATTCAGCAATAACTGGAACCATGGGAAACCCAGTTCTTATAGCCCAGGTGGTGCTGGGATCACTGGGAACAGGTATGAACACCTGGGCTGCACTGGGACGAATAAACCCAAGGTCAGACCCTGATGCTTGCTTATGTTTGGAGAAAGCCTCATCCAGCATGGCATCTTGTGAGTATGTAAAAATTCAAGAAGGTCCAGCTGGCTAACATTGAGAAGGTTCCAAATGAGAGTGCAAGGTATCCCAACAGGAGGTGGAATGTATTAGTGTTCAGATATCCAGGCGCATTCAGTCCATGCATCAGACTGGTGTGCAGGGACAGAGATCAGGTGTGATAGTGGTTCTCGTGAGGTGTGGTTAAGTATTGAATCTGGTTAAGAGGTGGTTAAGAGGTGAATCTGAGCATGCAGACTAGTTCTAGCACATAGAAGGTTCTCAACAAATACTGAGCTATTATGATTATATTATTACAGACTTTTTCTTCTTCAAGAGGTTGTTGTTGCCATTATTGTTACTATTTGGCCTACCAGTGTAGGCAGAGCCATGGTTCTAGAGAGTCGGCATTAATTAACCGTAGACAAAGACCACAGTGTTCCTATTCAAAGCCAAGTCTCATAACTCTAACAATTCAGAATTCACAGCTTCCAGATGATACCGTAGTAGTTCATTCACTTCCTCACTGAGGTAGGAAAGCAGATGTTCTTAATGTCTCCAATTTCCAGATGAAGAAACTCCAATTTCCAGATAAAGCCCAGAAAATCCATTGATGTCTAAAAAGCTTACAACTAAGAAGCAGCTGAATCAGAACTTAAATTCAGAGCCTCCAGTTTCAAATTAGGTCCTGTTTTCTCTATGCACTCCTCTGTGTTGACGCATAAGACCCAAGTTCCTCAACTCCCTCTTGGCCAGAGACCAGAGCACGGCTGAGCCCACTCATAGCCGCAGGCCAGGTGGTCCCCGCCATGCCGAGTGGAGGCGGGAGAGGCTAGGCGCCTGGCAGGTGACAGTGCTTCCTCACGCTTCACAACTGCTAAGACAAAAGGAAGGCACTCTGGGTGGGGACAGTAGCTGCTGCCAACCCAGAAGTAGTTCAGTGGTATAAGGGAAGTGGCCTCCTGCCCTCAGGGCCTTGGACGGCGCCGTGCTGTCCAAGTCCAAGCCATTTCACAAAACGACCAAGTTTGTGAAAGAGCAGGTTTCTGTGAGTGTGAAAGTGGATCCAGATGAACACTCTCTTCCAAAGTCTTCGTGGAGCTTCCCCAGTGGGAATTTGGTGTCTTCTC